GGGCAACTGTGTTCCCCCATGGCAAAAACCACATGAATAGCAAAGGTCTGTCTGAGAAAGATGTCCTCCACAGGTTCAGGGAACAACCCAATACAGTAAACTGGGGTGTCTGCCTTCTGAGCTCTAACCCCAGATCCCCAAACCCTGGCTTCTACCCACAGAGCTGCAGTCCAGTCCGCCCTTCCTTGCCGTAACCCAAAAGTTGCTGTATGTGATATTTTGTGCCTTTTCCCTTTAGGAGGGTACCTGAATTTTCAGCTGTCTGTCCATGGCAGAAAGCAACCTTGTTGCTTTTCATAGCCAGATGTTAAGTGGGCTCCTTTCTCAGTTCTGGTGCTCTCTGCAGAGTGGTCCAGCTTGGGCTTTATACCCAGTTCTCAGTGGCAGCCCCCCACAGCTGAGATAATCTTTCCAGAACTTTAGCTGCCGTCTGTGGGTTCCCAGTATATAGGGTAGGTTCCCTAGGCATGGCTGCTGATCAGGGCCATCTGTGGGGTGACCGGTAGTTGGGACGATTGGGGAGACCCTGCTGGCACCTGCCTTGGTTGGCAGCCTGGCAAATGCCCGCTGGCCAGCCCTGCCCTCTGCCATCACTGATTGCCTCCCTCTCGGGAAACTCCTGCATTGACTGCCCCCTGGTGGTCAGTGTCTGTCATAGAGACCGGTTGTTCCGCAGGTAGTTCAGGCTTTTGGTGGATTTGCATATTAGAGTTTTATCATATAGGATGGCATTAATATGTAATGAGATTTATCTATGTTATATAGAATGTGATTGGGTGTTCATATAAATTTTATTTTTGCCATGTAGAATTTTAAATTTTAATATTGTCAAATTTAATAGTTTTCTATTAATGCTTCTGGAAATTGCTTATATATTCTTTTCACTTTTAGGCTATAAAAGCTACTTTTCACCACCCTATTGTCTATGTCCATAGATAACGCATATATACATATATGCCCATAAGTTCTTCGGTTAATCTCTTCCTGCCCTCATTCTCTATAATTGTAATTTTCGCCTCGTTGCTGGTAGTTGTTGATGAAAGTCCTGTCTCTCAATTCTCAGCTTGAGAGATAGAGAGTGGGTGGTAGCGACCTAATCACTTCCTCATGGGTAGAAGTTCAGGCTCCTTACTTGGCTTTTTCTGCCATCAACTTGGCTGGATGCTGTAGCATCACATTGAAGCCAGGCTAAGGTACAAGTCTAGGCCTCCATTTGTCCTTTGCTGGTGTGGGTGGGTTAGTGCCATATTTTTTTTTTCTGTGGTGTTTAGATAGAGTAGAGGTTCTATTGTTTAAAAGTTTTCTGTTTCCATATGCTGTAATTTCAATTATACTTCTCCATTTCTTTTACTCGTTTCAGGGTTATTTTTGTCTTAATTTTTTGTTAATTCTCAACAGAGGACACTTTCCCCATTGCTTTTCAGAGAAACTGAAACAGAGGGGGGAAGAAGAGGGAAAGAAACATCGATGTAAGAGAGATACATCTACTGCTTGTCTCTTGCATGTACCTCCACCAGAGGTCAGGGTGCAAACTCATAACTCAGGCAGGTGCTCTTGACTGGGAATCGAACCTGTGACTCCTTGGTACTTGGGCTGATACCCTAACCACTGAGACACATTGGCCAGGGATGTCTTTATTTTTATTTCATTTTTAATTTTATCCAGACTTTTTAAAAGAAATTTTACTGTGATTTGTTTTGGCTTTTCCTTTCTAGGGTTTGCTCAGTTTCTTCTATTTGTGGGTTACTGTTTTTTGCCCAATTTGCAACATTTTCACCTTGCTGAAGTAATGTTTGTCAGAATTCTCCATTGTGAAGCTCCTTTGCTTTCCATTTCCATGTTGTACTCTTTGGAATAAGTCAGTTTCTCCTTTAGTGGAGATTATATACAGAAACCTGGGAGTTTTCTGCATAGGAAATTTATCTCTTCTACATGTATTAATTTATTCAATCATTTATTAATATTAGTAGGGACTCCTGGATATTTATTTTATACTTTGGGTTATAATTCAGTACTGCTTCATTTAATTTGTTGTATAATTTTCTAGCTTTGGCCAATGAGAGCATTTTCACTTGGCTTTTTTTTTTTTTTTTTTAAATAAATCTTTATTCACATTATTACAAATGTTCCTCATTTCCCCCCCCCCCTTCCTTCATTGCTCCCCTCCACCAGGTTCCCACCCCACCATCTGCCCTTTCCCTCCCCTCATTGTCCTTATCCATAGGTGCACAGTTTATGTTCAATCTCTTCCCACACACCCCTCTTCCCTTTTCCACCAGAATTGTCAGTTCACTCCCCTTCCATACCTCTGATTCTATTATATTCAACAGTTAATATTGTTCATCAGATTTTTTTTAAATTCCCTTGGTTTTTAGATTCACTTGTTGATAGTTATGTATTTTTTGTTCATAGTTTTTATCTTTATTTACTTTCTCTTCCAAAAGAACCCCCTTCAGCAATTCATATAATTCTGGTTTGGTGGTGAACTCCTTTAGCTTTTTTTTATTAGTGAAGCTCTTTATCTGGCCTTCGATTCTGAGTGATAGCTTTGCTGGGTAGAGTATTTTTGGCTGTAGGTTCTTGCTATTCATCACCTTGAATATTTCTTGCCATTCCTGTCTGGCCTGCATGGTTTCTGTTGAGAAATCAGCTGACAGTCGTTTGGGTGCTCTTTTATAGGTAACTACCTGCTTTTCTCTTGCTGCTTTTAATATTCTCTCTTTGTCTTTTGCTCTTGGAATTTTAATTATGATGTGTCTTGGTGTGGTCCTCCTTGGATTCCTTTTGTTTGGGGTTCTGTGGGTTTCCTGGACTTGTAAGTCTATTTCTTTCACCAGGTGGGGGAAGTTTTCTGTCATTATTTCTTCCAATATTCTTTCAGTATCTTGCTCCCTCTCTTCTTCTGGGATCCCCATAAATCTGATGTTGGTTCGCAGTATTGATATTTTAAAAAATATGTTCTTATTGATTTTAGAGAGAGAAAAAGGGAGAAGGAGGATTAATAAACATCAGTGGGCTACCTCCTTCATCCCCCCTATTGGGGATCGAGCCTGCAATCTGGGAATGTGCCTTGACTGGAAATCAAACCAGAGACCTCTTGGTGCATGGGATGATGCTTGACCAACTGAGCCACACTAGCCAGGGCCTGATTTTGTTTTTCTATTTCTATTATAGGTGTTCTTTTTTTCCTTTTCTTTGTGTGTGTGTGTGTGTGTGTGTGTGTGTGTGTGTGTGTGTTTTCAATTTTAGAATTTCCATTTGGTTTTTCTTCTATCTTCAAGAACCTCTATTCATTAAGTGGCTTTTGTTTCTTATAGCTATTTTGTCACGGCTGCCTGTTTGTCACTTCATTCTAACATTGCTGTACTTTCAGTGTTAGCATCTATTGATTGCCTCTGTCCATTCACGTTATTTTCCTGGGTTTTGGTAGGATAAGTGAGTTTTTAAAATCAGCCTAGACATTTGGGTATTATTATACTGTGGTTCGTAATTAAAGCTCCATTTTAGCTATATTTCTTTGACACTGCTCTGCCAGGGGGAGTAATGTGCCACCTCATTATTGCCAAGTGGAGGTAGAAGTCCAGGCTCTCCATTTGATCTCTGTTGACAGCAATGGAAGGGGAGGATAGTCTAGTTATTCTGGGTGGGTTTAGGGACCCACCCTGACTGGGAGGAGTATCTTCTTGCTGCTCCGCACAGAGCCTCCACTGACACCAAATTGTTCTACTCTAGTGGACATAAAAAAATTCTTCATGTTTTCATTAACTAAAATAAAAGTTATTTTAAGATATTGTTTCATCTTTAATTTTTTAAATATTATGTTAATTTATTTTTTTATAATTCTCATACTAAATAGTAATAACTTACAAGTAAATTAATAGGGATCCATGCATATGTTGTTACTGATAAAGGTACACCGTCAGATATATTTGGAGACCATAACCCAAGACACTATAATGAATGTCTTCTTTTCCTATAGCCTGGGAACTAAAATTGTAAGGTGATCTTTTCTTGTCCTTGCCCTCTCCTTCCCCTTTGATCCTTGTATTTAACATTGAACAGGGCTGCAATTGTTATCTATGTCCCCATTGTTCAATTAGTTTTTAGAGTAATAATTAATCTCGATGCTGGCACTGGAGACTATGTAAAATGCTTAACACTTTTCAGTTATTTTCGTTTTCTTCAGAATATCTTGACTTTCTGCAGAGACTAAGGATGTAAATTCATATCCTCTGGAAGCTGTCTTATGTGCTTTAAAATGATTCCCCCCCCCCCCCCCCCCAAAAAAAAAAAAAAAGAATTCTCAAAACCATTTGCAGATGATGAAAATTGTAATTGCATAACTTCCAAATCATTTAATTTAGAATATGTTGAGATACCATTATAAGAATTAATAGACTTTAATGAGATCTTGTCATGTAAGAGAAATAAGTGATGTTTTGCACGGTCTGTTTAGATCAGGTCAAATTTAAGATTGTATTTTTAATTCCTTATGCCATTATTTATATTATTGTTTTATAAAGTGATTTTTTTAAATTTAGGGTAATTAAAATTATCCTATAAAATAAAAGACTAATGTTCAAATTGAACGAACAGTGGAATGATCTGTCGCTATGACATGCACTGACCTCTATGGGCAGACAGTTAACACAGGAGCTGCCCCCTGGTGGTCAGTGTGTTTCCACAGGGGCACACCACTCAGCCAGAGCCCTGAGCCGGCCTCACTGCTGGCAAGTGCAGCAGTGGTGGCAGGAACCTCTCCCATGGGGAGCGGGCCTAAGCCATCAGTCAGACATCCACCTTCTGGACTGTGAGAGGGCACAGGCCGGGCTGAGTGACCCCTCCCCTTCCCTACCCCTAGTTATAACAGATAGGCATTTTTAAAAATTGGAATGAGTTTGTAAGGCACAGAACAAACTTTTACAGCTTTCTTATTTACTTTTCCATCTACTAGCCTTTCTTTATATGTTCTTATAAAGTGTTTGAAAATCTCTTTTTAGGTAGGTAGCCATCCAAGCTTTCTGAAGGAAGTTCGAGATCACATGCAAGACTCTTTCTTGATGCAGCCTGAGGTAAGTAGGAATGTAGCAGGAATTAAGGCCTGGCCGATTCATGCTATTGTTACTGTTGTGATGGTATATCTGAACAGCCCTGTGATTTCTTGAATGTTGGCACACTTTGGACATAGTGAGCTTCAGTTCTTGACCACCTCAAGGAAGTGAATATCACAATAAACTATGTCAGAAGAACTTTTTATTTCCCACTGCACATGAAAATAGTGATTACAGTGCACTATAGCCTATTAAGTATATAATAGCATTATGTCTAAAAGAAAATGTACATGCCTTAATTAAATTATTTCTTGCTAAAATATGCTAATCATCATTTGAGCCTTCAGTGATCCTTTTGCTGGTGGAAGGTCTTCAATTTGTAAAAAACTCAGTATCTGTGAATCACAATAAAAGAAGATATGCCTGTGTTAAAATTTATTCACTTAAAATATATCATATGATTGTTTTCTTATTTTATCTCCATAATATACACAGCCTTTCTTATCTCATTAAATTTTACATGTATTTTCTGTTTGATAAGATCATTTGCTTTTAGGTATTTATGTTGCTATTAGCAGATATACTTTTTTAATGCACAGTACCTTGTCCACAATGGGAATTTATTTATAGGATAACAAAGTCCCTCTATTTAATGCATGCTTGAAAGATAAAGTCCTTTTAAATACATAACTTTGAAATCTATATTCCCATTAATCCAGATGAATAAATTAGTACATGAATAATAAATGCATGCAAGTAGATATAATTATGACTGTAGTACAATGATCAAAATAAGGAATTTTATTTTGTACTGCTATCTGATTAATTTATAGACCTTATTCAAATTTTGTCTATTAATGTCCCTTATAGTAAGTGGGGGGAAAAAGATCAGTTGTCTGGGATCCATGCAGTCCAGAGTTATAGGCTATTTCATCAAAAATTTTTTTGTCTCCTCTATTTCTTTGAGACTGCAGTTCCAGATATATTATTAAGCTTTCTGCTGTTTTCTTATAATCACTATGTTTCTTTTTCCTTCATTTTGGAGAGTTCCTATTATTGTATCTTTGATTTTACTGATCTTTAATGAAATCAACTTAATCAAATAAAACACGGTATATTTTTCATCTCAGATCTTGTATTTGTCATCTATAGAAGTTCCATTTGGGTCTTTTTTATCTATTCTCCTAGGGGCCTGGTGCACGAAATTTTTGCACTGGGACGGGGGTGGGGGGGATCACACACATGTCCCCCTCAAGCCCAATCTGCCCCCTCTCAGACTGGGAGCCCTCAGGGGATGTCCTAATCTACAGTCTGGCCTTCCCTCTGTGGGAGGCCACTGGGCTGATCAGGGGAAGACACCAGCCCCATCATGCTGCTGCTGCAGCCACTACCAGCCAGTGCAGCTGCCAAGGTGTTTTCATCAACCCAGACTCCAGTCCCTTCACTATGAAAAAATGACAACTTTAGACATTTTCAAGATGTGTCTTTCATAGGATATGACCTCCCTCCCTCCCTCCCTCCCTCCCTCCCTCCCTCCCTCCCTCCCTCCCTCCCTCCCCTCTTTTCCTTCTCTTCCTTTCCTTCCTTTCTTTCTCCCTTTCCTTCCCCTTCCCTCCCCCTTCCTCCCCCTTTTCCTCCCCTGAGGATATGTTTCCATTGATTTTTAGAGACTGTGGAAGAAAGAGAGAGGGACAGACAAAGAGAAACATCATTGTGAGAGGGACACTTTGTTTGGTTGACTCCTGTATGAGCCCTGGCCAGGGAGGAGCCAGTAACCTAGCTACACCCCCTTGATCAGAATCAAACCTGGACCCAAAAGTCAACCAAACCAGCTAGGGCAGGATAGGACATTTCTTAGCTCCTCCAGCAGCGAACCTTAGTTTTTTCCTCCGGGAGTGTGGTGGAAAAACCCTAGATCACCTTTTTGGATTTTTATTACCCAAGTTACCAAGAAAACTGCAAGTGGCATCGTATAGGGAGCTTAGCCAATGAATGGTCAGAAAAGGTGTTTATGCTTGAACTGATTTGGCTCAGTTGATAGAGCATCGGCTTGCAGACTGAAGGGTCTCAGGTTGATTCCTGTTAAGGGCATATACCTTAGTTGTGGGCATAGTCCCAGTGGGGAGTGTGTAGGAGGCAGCTGATAGATGTTTCTCTCTCATCAGTGTTGTTGACTGTCTTCCCCTCTCCTCTTCTCTGTAAAAAACTCAATAAAATATATTTTAAAAAGAATAGAAAAAAAGGTGTTTTCTCTGCAGCCCATGTACAGAGGATTCCTGCATTGTGTCCACTGGGCTAGGGATGTATCCCCGGCCCCCAAGCCCAGTTGCTCCACCTTTGCTGTGTCCACTGGGCTGGGGGGCATGGACCCCATTGATGCTGCGTGCTGTGTCTGCCAGGGTCACAGCCCCAGCCTGGTGCCTGCCTGTTCGCTTGTCTGCCAGGCTGGGGGGCATAGACCCGTGCCACTTGGTGTAAGCGAATGTGCAAGCAGCCTTGGGGTGGAAGTTCCCATCCCCCAGCCATTTGTCCTAAGACCCAGTGTGCTTGGTGCCACAGGCTGCTTGTCCCATGACCCAACCTGCTTGGCGCTCCTGATCTCTTGTCCCAGGACCTGGGCAGCTTGGCACTGACTTCTGTAGACCACTCTTGGCTGGGGGTGTTCTGGGACTCCGGCCGTTCAGGGCCTACGTGCGGGCCTACAGGCTCAGAGTGGCCTGGATCCTGAGGATGTTCCTGGGACCCAGGCCACTTGGCACCCACATATGCACATTAACCCGCCATCTTTGTTGGGTTAATTTGCATACTCCTGATTGGCTGTTGGGTGTCATGAAAGTATGCTCAATTTGCATTTTTCTCTTTTATTAGTGTAGATCCTTGCCTCATTATATTCATGTTTTTCTGTACTGATTTCTCAACTATGTTGGTGTATTTATAATAGCTCTTTTAATATCTTTGCATACTATTTGCATTTGTCACTTCAAGATCTGTTTCTACAGCTTGATTTTTTTATTTTAATTTCTGTATAACATATTATGTTTTGTGCAATTTTTAAAAGTCATTGTTTCATATCTTCTGTCTAGTTTCCTATTGTTAAAGGTGGGGGGTTATAACTAGTCTCTGTTACTCCATCATGGCTGTGGATGGAAGTCCTGTCTGCTTTAATCTGGAACAGTTCTCTAGTCTTTCATGACTGACATTTTTACATACTATATGATGCTTTGTAGAGTGCTCTTCAATTTGGGCTTTTCTGATATATTCTCAGGAATATATTGAAGTCATGCATTTTTTGACATCATAAGTGATATTGTATCCACCTTAGTGCATCACACCAGGGGGCATGTCTGTCTGTTGACTTGATTCACTTAGCTAAGGTGGTGTAGGTTGAATTTATCCAGGATACTATTGCTATTCTTCCCTCTGTGTTTATTAATTTTTTTGTGTATATATTCTATAAATATTCTGTTGCTCAATAGACATTGCACCCTCTATTTTTAGCATCCATTGTCAAATAGAAAATTTTTTTAAAAATTACAGGTAGTATATGTGAGTTTTGATAGAAAAATTCTAACTACAATAAAGAAAAGAAACATGATAGTTTATCAGTTTTTTAGAAGATTTTTTCTTTTGTGTGAACATCTTCAAAATAACTAGATACTATTAGAATTTTATTGACTAAAGTACATATAAGTTTTACTTTAATTTATCTTTTAATCTTCACTTAGTGTAAAAATTTGTGCAGTATCATGTCATGTTGAAGTTTTTTTAAATTTATTTTTATTTTTTTATGCATAGAGCCAAAATACATGGAGCCCCTTTATTTTTTATTTATTTATTTATTTATTTATTTATTTATTAAATATATTTTATTGATTACAGAGAGGAGGAGAGAGGGATAGAGAGCTAGAAACGTCGATGAGAGAGAAACATCGATCAGCTGCCTCTTGCACACCTTCTACTGGGGATGTGCCTGCAACCAATGTACATGCCCTTGACCGGAATCGAACCTGGGATCTTTCAGTCTGCAGACCGACGCACTACCACTGAGCCAAACTGGTTTCGGCTCATGTTGAAGTTTTATCACCACTCTAATCAGGGTTCTTTTTAAAAAAATTATTTTTTATTTTTTATTGATTTCAGAGAGGAAGGGAGAGAGAGAGATAGAAACAACAATGGTGAGAGAGGATCATTGATTGGCTGCTTCCTGTATGCCCCCCACTGGGGAGAATCGAGCCCACAACCCGGGCATGTGCCCTTGGCTGGAATCGAACTTGGGACCCTTTAGTTCTCAGACCTAAACCAACTATGCACTGAGCCAAATTGATTAGGGCTCTAATCAGAGTTCTTCACTATTTTGTGCTTTTGACTCCTTTAGTAATATGGATAGACCATTTATCAGTTAAATGCATAAAATAGTATATTACAGTTAGAATAGACTAATCCAAATAGTTATTGAAACATTTTCAAATGTGATATATACTTTATTAATGTACTAATAAAATGATATGGTAATAACTACAGTGTTTTTTGAAGTAATGTTGAACATCCTTCCATCTATCTATCTACCTATCTATGCATCTATGCCTAAGTGACCGTTAAGATCGAATTACTGGAATGACCAGAACAATAGGTTGACCAGACGCTACTATGTGCACTGACCACCAGGGGTCAGATGCAGGAGCAGCCTGCTGGTGGTCAGTGGTCAGCGCACTCCCACAGCCAACCTCCTGTGGCTGGCCAACCATCCATGGGCTCTGCCTGTGGCCGGCCCACCTCCCACAGTCCCTCCCTCTGTTCCTCCCCCTGGCTGGCAGGCTCTGATTGGGCCTGCCACCTGCTCACTGTGGGAAGGATGAGGGGGGACGGCGGGGAACCGCACAGTGGCAGGGCACCAACGGCGGCATTGGCATCTGGCATTTGTTCCTTCTGTGCCTGGCCTGGTGACCATTGCCTTCTCTTCTGACCCTGCGGGGGCCTTCAGGCTCTGGGCTGGAACGGGGAAATGGAGGTGGGTGGCTGCGGACATGGCCCCTTTCCCAGGTGGGCTGAGGGCCAGTTCCCTCCTTGGGGCTGGCAGCCAGCCTCTTGCAGACCCTTCCAAGCATAGGAACCCCACCCGGGCATGAATTTGTGCACTGGGTCTCTAGTAATAATATATTGAGCTATCTGCCAGTATAATGGAAAAAGTTGTTTTTTTTTTTTAATATATATTTTATTGGTTTTTTACAGAGAGGAAGGAAGAGAGATAGAAAGTTAGAAACATCGATGAGAGAGTCATTGATCAGCTGCCTCTTGCACACCCCCTACTGGGGATATGCCCGCAACCAAGGTACATGCCCTTGACCGGAATCGAACCCAGGACCCTTCAGTCCCCAAGCCGATGCTCTATCCATTGAGCCGAACCAGTTTCGGCAAAGTTGGGTATTTTTATTTTTGATGAAGTTACAGGTTCTGTTAAAACTATTGTATCGATAGTTTGTTACCTCCAATTAGAATGAAGGAGAATGCCACATTGCAGTAGATATTACTGAATGTGAAGATAATACATTTTTTCCATGTAACACTGTGGAGCAAAGTTAAGTTGTAGTTGCATGTGGTTAGGAAGTAAGGTTCAGTGCTGGATATATCTTGGTACTGATTTCCTAGATTAGATTTGTAGCAACAAGTACATGAAACCTTTCTCTTCAGCATCTACCCATGTTGCCTACTTGCTTGGTCAAAATGTTCTAAATGAAATGTATTACTTACATGTAAAAGGAAAAAATTAGGGGAAATTTTAAAATCTTGTGATGGTTGCTAATTTTGATATTCATGTGGAATTGGTTAAAATTAAAATGTAAGGCACCTTTTCTCAGTAGCCTGAAAGTAAGCCAATTTGCTATAAATTCTCATTATATTTACCTTACTGATATCTTGTTTCAATCAGTTCTACCTCATTCTTTTCCCTTAAGTAGGTTTATTTCCCCCCTTATCTAAATATATTACTTGTCAGTTTATTCTGTTTAATTTCATTCATTTAAATTACATAATGCATATTTATAGGACACATGAAATTTAAATATGATTTTTTGTTTATTTGTTGTTGTTTTTTTGTCAATCCTCATCCAAGGATATTTTTCCATCAAATTTTAGAAGGAAGGGAGAGAGACAGAGAGAAACACACACTGATTTGATTGCCTCCCTCCCGGGCCCTGACCAGTGCCAGAGATGGAGCTTGCAACCGACATACCCAAAACCCTTTAGTCCACATGCTCTAGCCACTAAGTTAAACTGGCTCGGGCTATTATATATCAAGCAGAGAAGACATGACATAAACCTTTATTGCTTTTTTTGCTGATGTTCTCCCATTAAATATGGTACCTTATGTTTTTAAATTAGTAGAGGTAGTTCTGAAAGTAGCTTTGTTGAAATATTTTCATTATTAATGATTCTGTTTGATAGTACCATCACATTCTTTTCAAATGAAAGTTTTTTGTCAGTGTGGACCACTTGCTTATTAGCTCCTTGTTTACTTCATCCAGTTCACCTGGTCTACTTTTATTTTATTACGTCTTCAAAATTACTAATTACTTAACTATTCTGCCAATAAAATCATTGTCAACTTGAAGAATGTTTCTAATAAGTTAAAAAAAATTTAAACCAAAATTAGACAGTTGGACTTCATTTATTGAATAATGTATTGGTAAAGGAATTCCTCACAGGTGCTGCTACATGGAAGTCTTATACACACATCTACTGGGAGTGATCCTGAGATACAATGACAGGTGTCCTGATGTTTTTAGTATTCCTAATTAGTACTGTGGTATCAGATTTTAGACATTCTTTTATTTTCCATTTTTTATTTGTTTTCTTTGATTCCCCCACCCCCAGTATAATAATTTAAATTATTATATAGGCTTCAAGAAAACATGTTGCCATTTAAATACTGGGAGAGCTAATAATTGGATTTAATAGGTTTACAGCTATTCTGATTTCTTACTACTATTATTTTGTTACTGATAAGTATTTCTTTCTGGCGCATGTGAGAAATTGAAGAATGAGTTGATTTCCACTTTGAAAAGTAAAACTTCAGGCTTCCTTTTAAGAGATACTTGAGTATTTGGGAAATAGGCAGAGTGGATTATATTTTATGGTACCAGAATTAATATAACATACCTTCCTGGCACATCAAGAGTTATGTTTTCTCATACCTGTTCTATTTATTGTATACTGAGGACGTGTTTTTTTTTTTAATTTCTTTTTTTTGATGTTGATGTTATTTACTTGTTTTGTTATTGTTTTTACCTCCAAATTATTATTTTATTGTCTAAACTATTTTTGTGCTTGTGAAATTTATCCATTTTATTTTATTTTTGGCCTGATTGTCCTGTTTCTTGACATTTTTTTTTTTTTAAATCCTCATCCAAGGATATATTTTTTCCTATTGATTTTAGAGAGAAATAGAAGAGAGAGAAAGAAGGAGGTAAGGAAGGAAAGAGAGAAACATCGACATGACAAACACGGGTTGGTTGCCTCCTGTCTGTGTTCTGACAGGATGAAATCTGCAACCTAAATACATGCCCTGTCAGAATGAAACCTACAACCCTTTTTGGTGTACAGTCCAAGCTCTTTCCAAGGCACCACTTTGTCAGGGCCCTGCCATCTGTTATTTAACCATTTGTGGAACATTTTGATTTTTTCTTATATCATCATATTGTTTTAGACTGTGTTGGATATTCAGATGAGTGAGATAATCTCCACATCAGGTAGAAAGGTGGATATAGTGAATTTTGCAACATGATCTATAATATTTGATTTAACTGATTGGGACAGTTCTATAACTGCTCAGAAGAGATCAGATAAAAGTTGCTCTAAAAGGCTTCCCCCCATCTTTGTTGTCTAATTGTGACTATCAAGTATATGTTTTAATAGAAATACACCAGTTCATCCAAACTGTATTTTTGTAAGACTATATATCAATAATATTGCTTTTGTCTAGCAGTTCTCAAAGTGTACTTCCTTTATCTTTATATATTCTATCTAATTTCTCTGAATTATATCATTGTTGGCAAATAATTCATCCTTGGCTGAAGGATTGACTTCATTATTATCTGTTAATTATAGTAATAAATGTTTTAATAAAAAATTAATCAACGTTTTCTTTATATATTAATAATTAAACTAATTATTAAATAGCCAAAAATCATTTTGAAAGTTTTTTTAATCTAAAAATTAAAATTTTATTTTATTGTGATTGAATAAGGTTATAAATGTAGCAGATAGGTGGTAAATCAGTTTTAAGTGACATTCCAAAAGTGCTTGCACATCATCTCAATTGAATAACTATTTAACATCTTCAAATTATTTTCTCTGAAAGACTGTATTCATTTGATTATTAAGGCTTACATTTTTATGTCCATTTACTTTCTTCTGTCATAGGACAAAGAAATGTGTCTTTATTGTAAACAGAAAACACTGTGCCTTTGCTTTTCAATTGTTATTTACCTCTCTGTAGGGATTTTGTTAAAATAATAGAGAAAACACTATTTTTAAAGGAAAGTTAGATGAGGTCATTACTTTTGTTTGAATCTGATTTAGCTGCATTGCACTTAACAGCTTGCATCCAGATGAAGATTTCTGACCCACTAACCCCGATTAGAGATTAATAGAATTCTTTTGCAGAGAGAAAAGGTATAATGAAAAAAATACAATAATTTTTTTAGTTAAATTATGGTTTTCTTAATTATCTTTTTATGTTTCAAATTTTAGAAATATGGAAAACTGACCACTTGTACTGGTTGCCGAACACAGTGCAGGTTTTTTGATATGACTCAGTGTATAGGTCCTAATGGATATATGGAGCCATACTGTTCCACTGCTTGCATGAACAGTCACAAGACAAAATATGCAAAATCACAAAGTAAGTTTCAGGGATTTGGGCAGTTAAAAAACTTTAATAACATGACTAATTTTCTAACTACTTTCCTTTAACTTGATTCTTGTGCTTGTGGTAATTACATAAGTTTTTATTTTTTATTATCACACTAAACTATATTACTGGAAACTTTAATTATTAATGTTTTGATCATTCCATATTTCTTTTACTTTTTAAATTATTGAAGTTCTGTACATGCCTGTGTTCTTAGCTAAAACTTTTTCCATCTAAACATCTAAAACTGTGATTATGTGTTTTGGAGACATAATAGACTCTTTTAGGACAGTACTTTTCAAGGTATAAATAAATAATTTTGTAAATAAAAGGATAGTTTATAGAAGGTTCCATTGAGAAGCTGTTCTGAGGTTAATTATATTAAAAAAAGACATTACTTTATAAAGAAATCAGTTATGTATGTACCTTTTCTCTCCTAGGTTTGGGAATTATTTGCCATTTTTGTAAGCGCAACTCTTTACCTCAATATCAAGCCACAATGCCTGATGGAAAACTGTATAACTTTTGCAATTCCAGTTGTGTGGCTAAATTTCAGGTTTGTTATTTATTTTGCATAACCCTTACCCTAATAAAATAGACCTAGAAAATGAATAGTATAATATGCTTTGTTTTTATTTAATGTGCTAATTTTTTAGTTTTCTTTTTTTAAATATATTTTTATTTACTTCAGAGAAGAAGGGAGAAGGAGAGAGTGATAGAAACATAAATGATGAGAGAGAATCATTGATTGCCTGCGTCCTGTATGCCCCAAACTGGTCGTTGAGCCTAAAACCTGGAATTAAACTATGACTTCCTGGTTTATAAGTTTATGCTCAACCACTGAGCCACAAAGGCCAGCCAATTTTTTTAGTTTGTTGAGGGTCACATTGGTAGGGGGAGATTCTAGACTCTTAGCAGACATGGCTGCCCGCACCTCTCTACTGAGTACTTTTTTGTTAATCTTCACCAGAGGATATTTTTTCCATTGACTTTAAGAGATAGTGGATTGGAGGGGAGGGAGGAATGGGGGGCAGAGAGAAAGATTAAGATCAATGTGAGAGACACATCGATTGGTTGCCTCCTATATTTGCCTCGGGTGCCCTGACCAGGGCCTGGGATTGATGCTCTAACCATTGTACTCACTGGTTGGCCTAATTGACCTTTTAATTGTATTTATGACATAGACATTGTAGAAAAAAAACACACCAAAATTTAGCTTCATGTCTGATGTATAGTATTTTCTTAGTAGATGGTTTGAATAACATTATGAGATTCTTATTGGGGAATTCTGTTTTATGAAGGACATAGGTGGTATATTTAACTTGGAAGTAATAAACGTTTTCTTTATATATTAAAAATATGTCAGGTATATCCGAAACCGGTTTGGCTCAGCGGTAGAGCGTCAGTCTGCGGACTGAAAGGTCCCGAGTTCGATTCCGGTCAAGGGCATGTACATTGGTTGTGGGCACATCCCAGGTGGGGGGTGTGCAAGAGGCAGCTGGTCGATGTTTCTCTCTCATCGACGTTTCTAGCTCTCTATCTCTCTCCCTTCCTCTGTAAAAAATCAATAAAATAAATATATTAAAAAAAATATGGCAGGTATAAAGGGGATTGGATTTTAATATAAGATCAATTTTAGGGAGACATTTTTCATTTTGTTAAATATAAAGGTCATTTTAATTTGGAATATTGTAAATTTTGGCATATGGATAGTCTCAGAAGATAGTATTTCTGGAAGTATTCAAACTTAAGCCTGTTGATTTGGAAGGATAGTTTAGAGAGGATTTAGCATTAGTTAAGTGGTCGGAATAGGTTTACTACCTGCTCTGAAAATTTTAGGGTATTACACAAAATTTCTCACCAGTGCACAAAGCTGTGCATCATGATTTCATTTGATCAACAGTTCTGAGTTGCAGGCATTGTGCTCTGTGTTAATTTATTTAAAATGAAAATGCTGTCTCATATATGTGGTAGTAAACAGTTATTGCATTTAAGTTGAAGTGGTTTTGAATTCAGCCTGGTGAGTTATTTTTGTTAGTAGTTATATTCTCATCTGAGTTTAGGTATTAACCATATTCAAAATTAAACTTTCATTTTGGAAGTTGAGATTATAGGCATTGATACTCTTAGTGGCAAGTACTGCTTCTGACTTGGCTTGTCCATAAAGTAGACATTAAGTAATAAGGAATAAAGGCCAGTGTCTTTGGCATGCTGCTTATTATAACTTTCTTTATTCCCTTTTGATGTTGGGTAAACTGAAATGTTAATGGAAAATGTTTTAACTCTTTTTTTCTTTTAATGGAAACTTATATTGCCCAGGATTTGATGAGACCATTGTGTAATAGTACATTGTATATTTTATAGAAACACTGAATTTAAACTTTGACTTCTGAGGGATGCATGCAAAGAAGCCTGTAGATAGCCTCATTGCTTTTGTGACTCTGTATAAAAGTAGTGCTGGGGTTGACACATAGAAGGGCAGTGTTTTTTACTTTCTCTTTATTTTAAAGCAAATCATAGATTTTGAACTATGTCTTCATTAGATGGTTTTTCCATTCTAAATTTTGAAAGATAGCCCTGACCAGTGGGCTAGTTGGTTGAGCTTTATCCTGTACACCAAAAATTTTATTCATCTGATAGTTACTGCCTTAAATCTGCATGTTTTAATTTTTATAAATTTTAATTGTGTAGAATGCAGAAGTTTAAAAAATGATAAAGGTTACAAAAAAAGAATAAAAAGGATTTAGGTGGTTTTCTCTCCACTGTCATATTGAAAAAAATTGTATTAACTATTTCCTACATTCACAAGATGATACGTACGTAATATGGATTTAAGAATGAAAATTAAATATCAGTATACTCCCTCACTCAGATTAGATTAAAACTATTAAAGCCCATGTATCCTTATATCTTATTCTATGCTGTAAATGGTTTTAACTTGTAAATAAATATAAAAATAAACTCCTGATATCAATGCCAGTTTATAAATCTTTTTTCTCTAACTTTGTATATGAAACAATCCACTTTTAAATGTAATATAGGCTGGCCCTGACTGGTGTGGCTCAGTTGGTGAGCTTGTCATTCTTGCACCTAGAGGTCACTGGTTTGATTCCTGGTTGTGGCACATATCTAGGTTTTGGACTTGATCCTGGTAGGGGGCATGCTGTAGGCAGCTGATTGATGTTTCTCTTACCTCTCTTCCTCCCTCCCTTTTTCCCCCCTCCTCTCCTCCTTCTCTCCCTCCCTTCCTTTCCCTGCCTCTAAAAATCAATTAAAAAAAAAAAAGTAACATAGACAGTTTTTCATTGATGGATTTAGGATGACAACGATGGCAGCAGTGCAGATGTGTCAGCTCTGTGTCACCTGTTTGTGATGGCTAGGTTTTAAATGAAAAATTTTATTGATTGATTTTAGAGACAGAGAGATGAAGTGGGTGGTAGAGAGAGAGAAACATTGATTTTGTTGTTCCACCCATTCATGCATTCATTGGTTGATTCCTGTATGCCCTACGGGATCAAACCTGTAACCCTAGAATAGCAGACAATGCTCTAACCAATTGAGCTACATGGCCAGGGCCCAGGGTTTAAATTTTTATTTACTAGTTCAGAACTTGGTTAAACAACTTCACTATTTTATTTTACTTTTTTCCCTTGTAATTTTACTTTTTATTTAATCCTCACCTGAGGATATTTTTCCATTGATTTTTAGAGAGAATGGTAGAGAGAAGAAGAGACTGTTGGGTTACATGCCCTTGACCAGAATCAAACCCAGGACCCTTCAGTCCGCAGGTGGACGCTCTATCCACTGAGTCAAACTGGCGAGGCCTGCTTAGATTTTCTTTTCTTTTCTTTTTTCTTTCTTTCTTTCTCCCCCCCCCCCCCCATTTTCTTTAAAGAGAAGGGGGGGGGGATCAGGATTGGTATGATTTACCCCTCTTTTTTCATGTATTTTTAAAATTAGTAATCCTGTGATAAATAAATTTTAATTTTTATAAGACATACTTAATATAGTAGTAGGCAAAATTCAGAAATGTAATTTTATATATTGAAATACGTAAGTAAAATACATACTGTTTTCTGGACATAGTCAATATTTGAGAGTTGTCATAAATAAAATTTCTAAAATCCATATCAGTCTCAGTATATCTTGTTCTTTGTTTTGTTTAAGGCTCTAAGTATGCAGTCATCTCCAAATGGCCAGTTTGTAACTCCGAGTGATATTCAATTGAAATGCAACTATTGCAAAAATTCCTTTTGTTCAAAGCCAGAAATCCTGGAATGGGAGGCAAGTCATATTTTGTTATGTATATTAAGTAGAAAAATAATCATGTCATTTCCATCTGAGAAGTTGTTTCCTAGTGGATAAAGATCAGTTTTTCAGATTTTGTGTATCATTTAAGAAAGAAAAGATGCTGTCATTAAATATGATGCATCATTGTTTTTGAATTATTTACTTATGTGAGAGCAGCACTAACAAAGGATCTGTTTTGTTTTTTCAATGTAAAACATAAAATTATTGAAGTCATAGTCACTATATGTTATGTTCATAATAGTGTATAAGGTGTCACTTTGTTTAGCTATGTACCTGTAATATCTGTGCAATATTTTCCCCATCTCTCCCTTATCTCTTCTCTACCTGCCCATCCATCCTAATAATTATTTCCTGTGAACTCTAATATCTTGTATTACCTGCTACCTGTAAAATAAATTTTGGTAATCATTTACCATGTTGTCATTTAACATTTTACAATTTGTTTTAATAAAAGACTCCTAATATAAATTTATTTTCCCTTGTCATCATTCTTACCTTCACCAATTTATTAATTTACTTTGCCATATCTTTTTGCCATTAGCAAAAACTTTGATTACTAATTTTTCTCTCATTAAGGGGCAGTAATAGTGGATGGGTAGATGGACATTTGCTTTTTGAGCACTGCTTATCTTTGGCCCTTCTTTCTTTTACCTTTTTTTTTTTTGAGCGCGTGTAGTGTATAAAATGATACAAAGTGCAGTACTGACAATAATAGCTCCTGAGCCAAAACTTACTAGTGACTGTTGACAAGTCTTAGGTGAAAGGTGATTCCCAGAACCAAACTAGACAATTTTTAAAGTACTTTGGATATATGAAATTTCATAATTTTAACACTTAAATCCCTAGAAAATTTTCTAGTTTATTAATTTAATTGGTGTAATCTTAAGAACATTTTAACCAATCATTCTTTGAGACTGTTAATGGCACTCAGTGATGATTTTTAGTGACTAAAACCCTTTTTAGATCTTAGCAGGAAGAATGTTGAAGGTCCAATAAGAAAGGATAAAAGATTGGTGGGGAATGAGGAAATGAGCTCATGAGCAAGCACACAAGAATAGTATTATACAGGAAATGAAAGTCCTGCATAAACTGTCCTGATAATACCAGATGAAAATGTTCTTTTTACCCTGTCCATGTCAGTACCACCCTGCCTTGGTAGTCTTGTGCTGTGTTGCTCTTATTTATTTGGCGGGCAAGTATTGGAAGGAATTAGGAAACACCATCAAATTGAATGGGAACTGCACCTGACTCTCAGGTGATTGAGAACTCCGAGGGCCTCTTGCTTCTTGCAGTTGCAGTTTCTTTGTTGTTTTTTCTTTATAGTTACATGTCCATGATGGGGTGCCTTTCCACTGATGATCACCTTACTACTTTAGTTACTTCCTAGGCTCTTCCACTATCCTTATCTGGGTCTTCAGGTATCTTTGCTAGTGTGAGATAATTTAGGCCTAGTCTGTTTACATTCTAGGAAAGTAGGAATCCTGCTGCCTGGAGGTTTTAACTTGTTCCTGACTTGACTGCATACTTGAAAAATCACTGGCTCTTATGAGTTTTAGGCCAGGAGAAGTAACTAAATAATTACTAACTTTGCTCAATTCATGGGAGCCCAGTCTACTCAGCCTTGAGCTTAGCAGCACAATGGGTGATGGCTCCAAATTGAATATCTTATCCACAATAGGTTTGTTACTGTGAGGCTGTGATAATAATGGGATTGAGGCTACTTGACTATACTTAACAAAATTATTTTTGAGTGAAAATGTCATAATTTTTTTTATCTTTTTGTTATATCTTCCATTGTTTTCTTCCCATATCTCCAGTTCTGTTAGCATCACCAGTTTGCTGTATTGCTTTGGTGATGTTTGTACCATTTCACTATAATTTTTGGTTAGTTAATGGTATTGAATTTTGTGGAGTGTTGTGTAAATACAGTAGTGAATTAATTAAACTAGGTGTTTGTGGTCTATTAGAAATGTATCCCCAAGGAAGATAATATTACATAGGTAAATGATTTAACTTAGTTTCTGTAAACATGGCTTGTTTATTTCTTAAGCTTGTTCTCGAGATGGTTGTCCTCTGCTTACAAGGTTCCCATTGTGCATTTAGAATAAAGTGCATCAATTCTGCAGCAGAACCTGCTCAGACGACTATAAGAAGCTGCATTGCATAGTTACATATTGCGAGTACTGTCAAGAGGAGAAGACACTTCATGAAACAGTAAATTTCTCTGGTGTTAAGAGACCCTTCTGTAGTGAAGGCAAGTGTATATATAGTGTTGTTCATAACGTATTAATATTTAATAATTATTTTGCCAAAATATTTTCAAACTATTAAGTGTAAATGTACAGAAGAACTGTACAATTTTAGTGTAGCTGAACATAAAAACTTGAGTTTGCTTTTCTTTTGACTTGTTTTGTAAAAAATTTGGTAACCTGTTTACCATTTCTGGGAAGTTTCTATAATAAAATAAAATCATTATCATGTCATTTTTAAACATGTGAATTGTGACCTGAAAAATGATTTCCAAATGCACAAGTGTTCTTTTTTATTGGATCCATTTTTCTGTCCAGCATACTGCTTAATCTACAGAGATTTTCAATATTCCAGAAAGAAAACTACCTGTGGCATTCCTTATAATGGTGAAATCTCAGGTTTTCAATTTGGGATGCCAGAGAAACACTGACTTTTGTTAATAATGCATTTTGAAATTCTCTTTCCTCTCACCCTTGAGGCCCAGCAGCAGATTATAGAAATGGACCTCAGTCTTACTCCAATTCTCTAGAGATAGGAACCATGATTGTCACTATGGGTGTTGGACCCTTGTGCTTATTACTTTTCCCCAAATGTCACATTCTTGCTTGAAGTTGGCTTTCACTTTCTATGGTCCCAGACACTGAACTCCCACCTTTCCTATCTGCTATCCTCATCTATTATTTTCCAGTTAGTTATTTTTTTCTTTTCCTGGATCCACTTTTTCTTTTTTTTTTTTTTTTTTTTTTTAAATATATTTTATTGATTTTGTACAGAGAGGAAGGGAGAGAGATAGAGAGTTAGAAACATCGATGAGAGAGAGACATCGATCAGCTGCCTCTTGCACACCCCCTACTGGGGATGTGCCCACAACCAAGGTACATGCCCTTGACCAGAATCGAACCCGGGACCCTTCAGTCCCCAAGCCGACGCTCTATCCATTGAGCCAAACCGGTCCCGGCTGGATCCACTTTTTCTAAGAATTTCTATTTCCAGTTAGGGCCAAGGAAAAGATTGGAGCTTCTTTTTGTCCAGAATTACCATTTCCTTGTAATTTGCAAAAATGATCAACACACAGGGAAAGTAGAGGAGCACCTGCTATGTGTTCTCTAGGCCTTTTAGAAAACATGGAGTTACTCCTTTTTCACATAAATACAAATCTATAAAAAAGGTGATATTGTAGACATGAAGGGAGTGGTCATTGTTCAAAAAGGAATGCCCTACATATGCTACCATGGCAAAATTTACAAGAGTCTATGTCGCCAAGCATATGATGGGCGTTGTTGTAAGATTTCTGCCAGGAGAATTAATGTATGTATGGAGTATATTAAGCACTCTTAGGAGCTGAGATAGCTTCCTGAAATGTGTGAAGGGAAATGATGAGAAAAAAAGGAAACCAAAGAGAAAGGTTCAACAGAAGCATCACCCTGCTCCACCCAGAGAAGCACGTTTTATGAGAACCAATGGAAAGAAGCCTGAGCTGCTGAAATCCACTTTCTATGAAGCTAGGGCATGATCAGTGTAAAAACATAAAAGACCTCTGTATTGTTTTAAAAAAAAACCCCACACAGTTGGAAAACCCTAAATTCCAGTAGTAGGGATGACAGCAGTACTAAAAGATTGCCAGTTCTTTCAGTATTATACATTTTACATAGAAGTTTGTGTATGTAAGAAAGTACTGCTTATAAAAGAAGGTATTCCAATTTTATAGGTTTATTTGGCACAGTTCATCTGGAATGAAAGGGTATTATGTTGTTAAGATGACAGCAATGATGAAAAATTGAAAAGATTGATTTGAAATTAATATAACTCTTTTACACCTAAATTTTTGTGCAGTGACATTCTTAGTGATTCCTAAATCTGAATGTATTGGTATTAATGGCTAACATACATACCGGTGATCTTGTGCCCTTGGAATTATGTGGATTTTACTAAAATGAACAGATAAGTAGCAGCAAGTAGATAATTCATGTTTAAGAATTTTCGATCAGAGGGATATAATCAGAGGGATTTAATTACTGTAGATGGGCAATAGAAGCTTAAAAAAAGGATTTGTGTCTTTTCATATATATATATATATCTTTTAACTGCATCTAATTTTCTATTGGAACCTGTCAGAAATAATGCAACATACCATCTGGTATTACTATAAAAATCTTGTTAGAAAAATGAAGCAAATAAAGATGAAATATTAAAAATATTTGTAAATATAGTTGAAAGTAACAGAAATTGTAGATGAATTGCTAAATAAATTATATAAGAATAATTAATTTCCAAAAATATTATATATGAAATATTTGTAATTCAAGTTCACAGTTTGGAAAGATAATTTTAAGCTAGGCTGATGAGGACAGAGTTCGTGGAGGATTTCAGATAAGGAGTGGAAGGTCATTTTTATGTGGCACAGCATAAGTCAAGTACAAAAGATTATTTAATCCTCATAGAGATATTAATAAGATTGCTCTGTAAAAAATAAAACAATGCATTTACATAGTAGGTAAAATAAATATTTTACTGAAGGAATGGAATAAAAAAATGTTTTCTCTTTACAAATCAGTAAGCCCAGTTTTACATCCCTGAAGGTCTTTGTAGGGTGACAAATAGCCTAGAAAATTCCACTAAAATGCCCACTTACCTGAATTATATCAAGTTTGCTTTTGAGAGAAAATATTAGTCATCTTTTACTCTCAGTAGTCTACACTATTTCATTTACTAAAATGCCAATTTGTGGGGAGTTTATGATACTTAAGATTATATTTAAATAAAGCCTATAAATCAGTTCTGAGACATTTCTAGATTTGAATGTCTTAGAACAATGATTTGAACCCACATGGTATCCCACATAATATTCCATGTCCTATTAGAATTTTTATAGGTTGGTGTTGATCACAGGAGATTTCATAATTTTGATCAGGAGAGAAAAAGGATTTTATATGTGAATTTATAGAAAAATTTTAAAGCTAATGACCTATTTGCCATAAGCTCATTCTCACTTTCAAAAGTAGTAGTTTTTTTTTTTTTTTTTTTAATATTAAAACTTTTATTTTTCAGGCTGCAAACTGTTGTACAAACAGGATTTTGCAAGACGTTTAGGACTGAGATGTGTTACTTGCAACTATTGCTCTCAACTGTGTAAGAAGGGAGCAACTAAAGAATTGGATGGTGTCATAAGAGATTTTTGTAGTGAGGACTGCTGTAAAAAATTTCAGGATTGGTACTACAAGGCAAGTAATTCAAAATTTTATGACAATCATACTTTAACCATTCTTTAAGAAAACATTGTAATTATTACCATGATAAATATGGTAACTTATTTTAAAAAAATGTACACATATTGAGCTTTGCCCAGATTATACAATACATTAAAATTTCTGTCATTGTAGTTTGTTCTTTATACCAAAGTAGCATTTTTACTTGTTTTATAACTTTGGCATTACCTAAAACTAGGGTATACCTGTATTTTCAGTAGAGTAGCTTAACAAAATTGATTTCTCTAAAATTTGTTATCTTTATTTTACTAAATAGAAATATTTTTGGTGACTACTTAATAATCAGTGTTGATCATTAGCAGGTAATTGTTTTAGATATATACAGTTTGTTTTACGACAGTTTGTTCTCTTTTGCCTTTTTAATTGTGGGTCATTGGAGAATTTCACATTGAAAAGATATGATGAATTCTTCCTGTTTTCTTTTGCATTATACAGTAGGTCCTCGGGTTATGTCGCAGATCAGTTCCTACAGCGACTCGTAATGCAATTTTGCTGTAAAGTCGGAACCCACCTACATAAGCACCTATGTCACTCACATGGAACACATACACAGCAGTAATATGAAGTGAAACAGTACAAAAAATTTTAAAAGAAAAATAATTCCTGATCTTTACTTGTGGTAAATAAATGATATAAAACATCAAGCACATATGTACATGACGGAAACTTTTTTAAAAAAAATAAAAACAAATAAATAAATAAATAAATGGGAGATGGTGACCACGAAATGACATACATTGAGTCCGACGTAACCCGAGGATTGCCTGTAATTAGAACAGAGAAATCTACTGGTTTCTTTTCTTTTTTGGGAAGCAAAAAATGTTTGGCAAAAGACCACTGTTATAGATGTTGCCATTTGTTATATTTTGCTATTTATTTTAAAGGATAATTGTATATAATATTTTTATTTTATGCAGTGTTTAATTATTAAATTTCATTAAGGTGGTGCATTTCAGAATACCTAAGAATCTGTTACTGAAATAATCACGGATAATTATCTTAAAAAAAAAAGTATTTTAATTATTTTAGAGAGGAAAGAAGAGGAAGAGAGAGATAGAAACATTGAAGATGATAATCACTGATTGGCTGCCTCCTGCATGCCTCCTATTGGGGATCAAGCCTGAAACCTGGGCATGTCCCTGGATCAGGAAACAAACCGTGATCTCCTGGTTCTTAGGTAGACACTCAACCACTGAGCCACAGCAGATGGGCTGTTTTTGTTTAATGTCAGTATTCTATACATTAAATACATTTTTATTGATGTTCCTGATAAATACAACACATTTTTGGGTAATATGCACAATAGCATTATTACATATTATACTAAATTGAGTGTTTTATCTTATGGCAGCAATTTGTAAAGCAAGTAACAATAATGATTTTTCCATAATATCAATAGGAATATAACCTTAGAAATGAAAACGGAGTTGCCCCTGGCAGTCAGTAGGATAATCAAAGAATAACTTTCTTTTTAGTGCTTTCTGTTTGAATCAGACTGTTTTCCTTCACCTGTCCTGAGTTCCTTCTATATACTGCTCCCTTCTACTCTCTGTCATCTTGAAAATGTGGTTGAGTACCAACCAAATTATGATTTTTTTGAACTTTCTTCTTCCCCTTTTTAATATAAGAACTCAAAAATTTAGATTTTTTAGTTTATTTAATAGTGTGACCCTTGTTAGTCAACCCAGCTTTTATTTGAAAAATGATTCCCTCTCCCCAAATGGTGCCTTACCAAAGAATTTTTGAAAACTGTAACTAGCCAATCAAGTTGTCTACTCACCTTTAGCTACAGCATTTATTGCCTAAATAGAGGAACACACATTGAATTTTCACTTTTTGTTATCTTTGTGCTTAAATTTGAAATATATCTAGAATATAGATAACTTTTTTTTAAAAAAAATTTAAATACTTAATATACTTTAAAAATTTCTGTTACATTTCTTTCTTTGTCCCCTCTCCCCCAAACAAGACATTTTTAATGATCTGGTCTATATAATGGTTTAATTTTGGGTTAAAATAGTGGTTCATTGTATACTGTCTCTTCTAGATTGGAATAGAAAATCTGTTGAAATCATGTAACCAAAAAATGTTGAGAATAAAATTGTATGTCTTCTCCCAGATTATTCTTTAGGAAGAAGTAGATTTTACTCTTCCTCAAAGTAACTGTTTCCAGGCTTATTATGAAACCAGGTGGAAGCATAGTTCTTTTGTTCTCTTAAGTTTAAAATTTTTGGAGAAAAAGGATTTAGTAATGTAACTAAATAATAGCTAGGTGGTTGATATGTAGTGAAGATAAATCGAAATAAATAAAACTGTGTTTATTTTTTAGAAGGACATAGATTTTACTCTTCCTCAAGTAACTGTTTCCAAGAATCCTACACAGTATTTCTAAGAGAACTAATAAGCTTTTCTTAAACTTTTACTTAAAATTAAAGCTGTGTTTTGTTTTTTTACACAGATTTTGCTTTGTTTCACAAACTAGTAGTAAGTGGTGGCAATACTAAATTTTTCCATTCGTAGGTCCTGTAATGTTTTATCAGTGCAAGTTATTGACTTTAATCAAATGAATAACTAACATTGTAGTAAATCACAATGTAGTGCTTTCTATTTGAATCAGACTGTTTTCCTTCACCTGTCCTGAGTTCCTTCTACAATATATACTGCTCCCTTCTACTTTCTGTCATCACCTACTTTTTTATCACTTCATTTAAAAATATGAATCACTCTATTGTATTCAGAATCATATATTGGGGAGTCAAAGAATTTTTTTAAAATGACTATAAAATTCTCTATTTCATTTATGTTCATGGATTACTTCACCTGCCCCTGCAAAACGAGGTTTGATTTTTATAATGGGGAACAGTGGATGTATATAACAAAAAACCAAGCAGTTGAAACTGTCTAATAAATGTAAAATATTACATCAGTGTAATATAGATTGAATGACCTTTTGTTAGTTATTGAAGAAGAGATTCCTGTAGTAGCTGAGAGGTTGGAAAGGTTTTGTAATTAAGAGTTTAGTTAGTATTTGCCTATTATTTAGATATTTGAATCTGTGACTGTCCATCCTCTTACCCCCAAATATCATATAGTCCCTGATTTTTTTTTTTTAAATATAGGAAGGGAGAGAGATAGAGAGCTAGAAACGTCGATGAGAGAGAAACATGGACCAGTTGCCTCTTGCACACCCTCTACCGGGGATATGCCCACAACCAATGTACATGCCCTTGACCGGAATCGAACCTGGGACCTTTCAGTCCGCAGACCGACGCTCTACCACTGAGCCAAACCGGTTTCAGCTAGTCCCTGATTTTTCACAGTGACAGGACAACTACTAACCAAAGAAAAGAATTTTAAAAAGTATTTTTTAAATATATATTTTTTATTGATTTCAGAGAGGAAGGGAACAGAAGAGAGAGAGAGAAACATCAATGATGAGAGGGAATCATTGATTTGCTGCCCCCTGCAATCCCCCTACTGGGGATCAAGCCCACAACTGGGGCATGTGCCCTTGACCGGAATAGAACCTGGGACCCTTGAGTCCTCAGGCTGACCCTCTGTACACTGAGCCAAATTGGCTAGGGCTAAAAAGTATTTTTTATACAAGAGAGCTAAGTCATACTTTAGTTTTTGTGCTATAGAAATGTTAAGCTTTCCTAAGATTTCTCTTGTTATTGGGAGGTAGTAGTGTTGATGTTGGTAAGGAATGGCCATTAATGATGTTTTCTAATTAGCCATCCTATTTTTAGTTCATTTCCAAACACAATACCTGGAGTGTGCATGAGTGAATGTAAAAGAACAAAACAACAACAAAAAGAGGTTCACCACCTTTGAATTTTTTATTATGGCATTAAATTTGGAATTAGTATTGAGTTCTGTTATTCAAATATCCTGAGAAAATAAACAGTTTGGCCAGATTATTATGATCTCTGAATGCATAATAATCTGGCCACACAGTGTGTGTGTGTGTGTGTGTGTGTGTGTGTGTGTGTGTGTCTGTCTGTCTGTCTGTGTCCCAGTCCCAGTGCATGAATTTGTGCATGGGTGGAGTCCAGCCTGCCTCGCCAGGGGGAGGGGACATGGGCAGTAGGCCTGCCTGGTGGTCGAACTCCTAGTCAAGGGGACAATTTTAATATTAGCCTTTTATTATATAGGATATACACTGAGTAGCCAGATTATTATGCATTCAGAGATCATAATAATCTGGACACTTGGTGTATACTAATTTTGTTTCCCTCTACAAATTGTCATTAATCTTGCTCCTTTTATTTTCTTTGGGTAGAATCACTTAAATTTGTTTTGAACCTTCTGGAAGAAAGCTACTTCAAGTGTTGCCATTATAAAATCCACTGTCTATAATTAACAAAAGAATGAAGTGATTTAATTGTTGAGATTTTTTGGGTGGAATGTTCTTGGGCCTCTGGTCTTCTAAATTATTGTGTAAATGGCAATACTACTATATACTTACGTTGCCAGAGGATCTAATTTCTCCATCACTAGTAGGAGTAGTGTTCTTGGAGTGCTGCTTGAATGAGTACTTCTGGAGACTCCCATGTGAGGGTAAGATGTGATAAAGGCTTTATTTTCATGAAGTTACATTTCGCGGATCGTAAAGGCCCATGTCCCTTAACCCAGTTCTGTAAAAGCTGCACCTGGGACTTTAGTAGAGCTAGAAGCAAAGCCAGTGTCCAGAGTTTCCATTCTATTGTGAAGTTGAGTCCTGCAGAGAATCAAGCTAGATTAAGTCCCATCAGTCCATTGTGTTGGTCCCACATTGTCTTGAGCCACGTGGGTGAGTTTGAGCCCCACCAACCAGTAATTAGGCTTGAGCAGCAAGGGAGCCAAGAGGGCAAAAGAGTTAACTCTTTTTGTTTAAATAACAAATATTCTCATCCTTGTAGTGGCTACACCTATTCTGTGTACAGACTTTGTCCCAGGCGTGACTGACAGAAAAG